ATCACAATATTCATAGTTTAAGGTAAAGTGAGGAATAAGCACTATCTTATGCTTCCCCTCTTTTACCTTTCATCAAATACCACGTTGTTATTATCTTAAAAAAAAGAAAAGAAAAAGAAAAAGAAAGTTCGCAACTTTAACCAAATTTTTTTAAAAAAACATTACCCCGTAAATTATTAAAACTTTATATTTTTTTTAAAAAAATAAACGTTTACAATTTTGCCTTCTTAACTCTCCAAAATTTTTTTAGCCGCTTTAATTTTAATTTTTAACTATGTCACTATATGCACATATGCACATATATCCGATACTGTTAATAATTTGATTTGATATCTAAAAATATGTTCGTTTTCAATATACGACATGCAGTTTATAATATATATTGGTATAATATTCTTGGTATATATTTAGTTTCCATGTCTATCACTCCTTCAGCTTTTCGAAAAGCTAGCCAGACGGAGACAAAGAAAAAGAAGAAAAATCTCCAATCCTTTTGTAGTCAAAAGAATACCACCATTGTTAACTTTGTCTCCTACCTTAGCACTGAAGGAAATAAAATATAAAAAAGAAGGTCACTATTCCTTTGAAAAGGCAAAATTTTCTTGTATATATATAGAGATACAGCAGACCGCTGAAATTACTTTATTAGTTTTATTACTTTGTATTATTAAATCCTCTAACTTTTATTTCTTTGGTATATTAAATTTTTTTTTTTTTTTTTTACATATTGCTAAGATTGTAGGGGGAAAGAATTCTGCTTCCCTAAATTTTTCATATTTGAAAACCTTTTGATTGTCTGACAAGCACAAGATTTTCACTTAAGATTATTCTAACTCAACATGGACAATGGTGATTGGAAGAAGGTGAGAGTGCATATATAGAGAAAAGAGGAATTAATTAAAGTTAAAGGGATAGGTTTGTTTCCTTGATTCCATTATTTGAATGAGAAATGATGCTTAGCAAAAAAGAATAAAAGACTGATAAAATTATATTTAGCTTAGGCTAAAAAAAAAAAAAAAGATTCTTGAGAACTTGTTATCTTTTGGGGAGAAGTGAAATCCATGCATTCCTTCTTTAGGATGCCAACTCCATTTTCTTCTATTTTATTTTCTAAATGGATGATGATAGATATTCCCACATTGCAACCCATTGGTGGCCAACTGGCCAACACATGGATGCTGGATATCATTTACAAATAGTTTTTTTTTTTTTAATTATTATTGGGAATTTTTTCTTTTTAATTTGTTAGAAGACACATATATTTATGAATTTAAAATTTAATATTATTATTTCTTATCAATTTTTTTATATGATTCTACACTTAAAAGAAAAATACGCTCTATGACACGAGAAGAATTATATAAAACTTTCTCGTTCTACTATAAAAAAACATTATACATATCTTAGTGCATATTTTTGCATCAACCAACTATGATTTCTAAAATAATTTTTCCCTCCTATGACTTGAATATATTAAAGAAAATTTCCCACTTCAACAAGAAAAGCTTTGATTCTCTGGGTCCCTTACTACGTGGTTCTCCTGTCAATGCCACTACAAAGCAATGAACAACGACATGCACTGAGCAATAATCACCTACAGCACCTCTGCACTTCCATCGTTGTAAGGAGATTTTGTAGAATACTACTTCCTTTATCCCATAATTTTTATTCTATTTTTCTTTTTCATCCGACCTAAATTATTGTTCTATTTCCTTTTATGAAGTGAATAATATTTAAGTTTTACTATTTTACCTTTATTTAATATGCTTCTTTATCAATAAATAAAATAGCCAAACTACTACTATATTATCATTAATTGAATCTTGATATAAACAAAATTAACATATTAATTTTAATCTTTAAATAAAATTCTATTAAAATCTTGATATAAACAAAATTAACATATTAATTTTAATCTTTAAATAAAATTCTATTAAAATCAAATGTTTGATTTATTTTAAAAATAATTTAATATGAATCTTTCAATTTTTTTGAATATTGACATAAGAATATATCAAGAAAAAATAAGTCAAGTTTACTCTCTCTGTCCCAAAAAATATTTCACTTTCTATTTTAAGAAAGTAGCAATTATTATAGTTAAATGATAATTTTATTCATATAACTTTTCTATGATATTCATATTAAATAACACATGAGCAATTATTATATTGATACAATAAGTAAGAATTAATAAGGGTTATTGAAAATAAGGTAAAATTTAATAAGAATATAATAGACAATTTAAAAATTAGCTATAATGCAAGAAAGGGAAGTGAACTATATTTCAAAAAAAAAAAAAAAAAAAAAAAAATGAATTATTCTTTTAGAATAGAGAGTAGTTTAATCATATTAATTAAATTTTTTTAATTCACGTGTAAGGACACAAATTATGGGACGGGAGATTGAAAGGCATAAAGTTTTTGTAAGTTTCTATGTTATCAATTAACTCTTGTTTTTCTCGCCTTTGTGCCTACTACAATATTGTCAATAAAGGTGAAGAAACTTTTTAATCCTTGCAATGCAATTAAATTACTAATTAAAATTAAATAACCCTTTTCATATATTTAAATTGATGGTTAGTGTTGGATGGATGCACCTAACTAATTTCATAAGGTTTTTTTTATACATCATTTTGTTTCCATATATTCATGTTGTTTCCCGATATAATATATATATATATATATATATATATATCTATATATATATATATATATTTTTAGAGTCATATATATATTTAAAGAGTCTAATCTAATAAGGTTAAAGGAAAATGAGAACACTAACGTGGCCGCTTATCTGGGTTGCTTGTGCGAGTACTTATTGAAATTTACAATTCATTGGAGGTATTATAAAAGTATATTAGTCATTATCATAATAGATAAAATAAATAAATAATAATGAGAGGAACAAATACACTTAATATTAACTATATATGCATAGTAATCATCCCATATTTCAAACTTGTGACCTCATAGATAGGAGGTATAAACGACCAAAGTGATATATATATATATAACTTTAATAAGAACTTTGAAATTAAATATCATTCAACTCGAATTCCAACTCAATTCGAGTTTATAACATTCATAGTAAATGAGATACTAACTTCAGATGTTAACTTACTTTTAGGTTAATCTTATATTGACTAAACATAATATAAAAGTGATATATATAAAGATGAATAAGCCTTAAACTAGTAAGACGTGTTTTGAATTTAGAGGTGCGACTTTGGCTAGGAACAAAATTATGCAGGTTGGGCTCAAAGCGGAAAATATTTTGCTAAACTTGGATGTTATAGATTTGGACTTTTAAGACTCGAATTTTTGTCGAGCTTGTGAGCCAGATCAATTCATTTATACCCCTACAGAGATTTTTTTTTTTTTTTTTTTTTTTTTTTTTTTATCAACTCCTCATGTTATACCCTAATGGCTTGTGAACGAAAAGTTCCAAAACCTAAAACATCCAAAGATCATTATTGTATTAATGCCTTTTTTTTTTTTTTTTTTTTTTTTATCAACTCTCATTTATACCCCTAATGGCTTGAACAAAATTCAAACCTAAAACATCCAAAACATTATGTATATGCTCTATATTCTTTCCCACCTTGAAAGAGCATAGTTTGATGGATTGAACATAAATGGTTTTGCATCATATTAACACAATAACAGTGAATACTTTATGTCCTTAGAACCTAAAATAAACCATATCATAATTACCAATAGAAATTTCTAAAAACTCCAAACCCCACACCATGTGAACATCTTCCATTGCCAAGATGCTATGTTTCGTAAGGTTGTTTTCACTGTTTTTATTCTTTCTCCCAAAAGTGAAAAATGGGATTTTTCTAGAAAAGCTATTCCTCCCTACATTAATGAGAATTATAATTTATATATCAAACTTAGTTTTATTATAATCCACACATTAATGAGAATTATGACATACATTTTTCTAATCTTATCTAATCCATTGATATGGACTCAATTCGATTTAACCTTATTTTCAAATCCAATTTCTAAATCAATTATGGCAATAATAAAATGCAAACTTACGAGTTGTGGCTCAATTGGCAACGCAAATTGGACATGCGGAAAAAGCTCATCGGATTCGATTCTCATTAAATGCACCTGATTTACACAAAAAATAAAATAAAATGCAAAATTCAGGATTGCATGCATATTACTAGTAAATTTTAATTTAATAACATCAAAAATTTTCAAAATAGAAAGATTATAAGTTTAGATATTTTCATTCGAAATTTTATAGAAACGGTAATAAAGAGGGACTTTTTTTTTTAGATGGTAATCAACTATTTGGATAAATATGTGAGAGAATCGAGATATATATATATAGAAATAATTTTTGTAAAATTAATTGTTTGAATTGATTTTTATTTATTCATTCACTGAATCTATAATTAATAAATAAATTTAATGAATATTGATGAATTAACTATATACTAAAAAATATTGAATGAATTCTTATTTATTTTTAAGAGTATTTTCATCTAAAAGTCATAATTTCCGCAATTTCTAAGCTCTTCAATTCAGTTTGATTAACCATTATTATTATTTTTTTTTAATTTTTTTGAAAAGGAAACCATTTGGGTTAGTTAGTCACTTTCTTGGTTTAATTTTCTCAATTTAGATTAAATTAATAAAAGGAAAAAAAAAATGCCTTGCAAGCAAAATTGGGCTTGCTTCCACATGCAACCCGTCGGATCCGGCAATAAAAATGCCAATGGATTTAGCATTATCCATTTGGCCCGACTGGGATCCGACAATAATCCGACCACAGGGCATGCAACTTACTTAACACCCTGGCAACTCAACCCAATCCAACCCCTCGGCGTACGTTAGTCAACACTGACAGTAAAAGTCCACTACGCTCTCTGAATACCAAAACACCCTCACTTTTTAAATAAAAAACTCATTTAAGAAGGGTACTTTCGTTATTTAATAATCACTTCCACCATTATAAAATGCAATCAACTAAACTCCTCAAAACTTTAGTTACAAAAACCACCTAGAAGCAACACCTTCTGATTTAAATTAAAATTCTCTCCTTTATCTCGCCGGAACCAAAAGTTTCCGGCACCGGCAATTGTATTACTTTTCATTTTTGATAGTCACATCACCATTTCTATGGAGATTTGGTGAATTTTCTTGGCTTTTTCTAGCTCTTTCTAAGCAAAAATAAAAACAACTGTAAAAAAAAAAAAAGACAACAAAATTAGTGGTGGCGTGATGGGATTTTGTATCTGTCCGTTGGAAACTCCGGCGAGGTTACTGTGGACTACCAGCTTCTTTCGCCACAAGCTCATGTTATTCTAACCAATATTATCTTTCGTATATAATACATACAAGAAGGACAGCATATACATAAAGTTCTGTTATACGTTATTTTTTGTGTCTGTCTCACCGGAGAATCACTGAAACTCGCCGGAGATCTGACACAGAGGATATAGAAAAATATACACGTCTAGCTTCAAAGAGTGAAGATGGAGTCTGGACGCCTTTTCTTTAATCCCTCTTCTTGCCATGAGAACATGTTGTTCCTCGGGAACTGTGACCCCGTTTTCAGAGGTAATTATAATATTTCTTTTGTTTATTTTTTTTTTTAAGTTAGAACACACTTTAAAATTGTAATTTCACAATTTTAAAGATAATTTTAATATCATCATTCAGGATGTTTGATTCATATGTTCATAATTGGCGTATGATGTTTGAGTTTACTTTTTTTTTTTTTTTTTTTTTGTTCATAATTGGCGGTATGTATGTTTGAGTTTTACTTTTTTTTTTTTTTTTTTTTTAATCATTCAGTATTCTTTTTCTCAATATTGTTAATGTACTTGCCGGTCCACCTTTAACGATAATGTTTCTGTTTGGTTATTGAGAAATTTGAAGGAATAAGCGGATACAGATTTTTTTTTTTTTTTTTTTTAATCTCAGTATTATTTTTCTCAATATTGTAATGTACTTGCCGTCCACCTTTACGATATGTTTTCTGTTTGGTTATTGAGAAATTGAAGGAAAGCGGAACAAAATGAGTCTTTCAAGGAAAGACGACCTGATGCTTCAGAATTTAGCATAACAACACAAGTTGACTTTTTATTATTATTATTATTATTATTAGTGTTTTCTATTTTGTCATCTTTAACAAATCTGACTTGGAAGCTATAAACTGTGATCATAAGCATGGTTTTAATTAGTGTAAATCATGAAATTTCTATATAAGATATATAAAAGAAATTTTAATTAGTGTGTATACGTGGATGGTGTTGAAGGTCCAAGATTGTTGAACATGGAGGATACCTACAAGAAGAGACCATTTTTCAGCTCACCGGAAGACTTGTTCGACGATGACTATTATGACGAACAGTTGCCGGAGAAGAAGCGCCGCCTTACACCGGAGCAGGTTTATACCAAGATTGATTTATTTCAACAATAGTATTTGGCTATCTATCTAGTATATTCCTTGTGAAAAGATATGGCATATCCAATTCAAAGCCTTATGGCCCTTATCATCAGAATCAAATTCCCTTTCATTTGCTGTGAAGGGGAAGTCTCTCTTTAGATATCTATGAGAGAATCATAATTATACTATAAATCATGCCAATAAAAATACTAATTTTTTAAAAATTATTCTTACTTTATATTTTTTCCCAAGTCAAAAAATACCTTCTTTGAACCAAACATTTATAGAACTATATGAAATTACAAATTCAAAACAGTCCAAACCAACTTAAATATTCATACTATAATTTTTTTTTTCTTCACGTAATTTTAGATGCATACAAATTTAAAGAATTACTCATAATATATTTTTTCGTATTAGGATAGGATAAAATCATAAGTAATAACAAATTATTATACCAAAAAAATTTTAATTTGGCAGTAATTGGTCATCTCTACTGACTGTAAATTCACAAGTTTGAATCAGAATCACAGCCAACTTAAATAAAATTTTGTTATTCGAATTTTCCTAATTTTGTTGACCTTAGCAAGCAAGTTGAGCAAGAGAACATAGATTCGAAACATTGGAATTTTCTTCTTTTAGTGGACATATAACATATAATCTAGATCTTGAAATCTTTTTCTTTTGCTTTAATTTACAGGTAATGGTAACAGAGAAATATATAAATATATTCCCATTTGAAGTATTAATATAATTTTATGATATGAAGGTGAATTTGTTGGAGAAGAGTTTTGAGGAAGAGAACAAGCTGGAGCCGGACAGGAAGACCCAGTTGGCCAAAAAGCTTGGGCTGCAACCAAGGCAAGTGGCCGTGTGGTTCCAAAATCGTAGGGCCCGATGGAAGACTAAGCAGCTTGAGAGGGATTATGACCTTCTTAAAGCTTCTTATGAGTCACTTCTCTCTAATTATGACACTATTGTCAAAGAAAATGAGAAGCTTAAATCTGAGGTACATAAACTAAAAACCACAGTTTTACATTTCGATTCTTCTTTCTTCTTGAATTAATTATTTTTATGCACAGGAAAAATAGAAAGGTAGTATAATGAAGTACTGAGTATTGACTTTACCACATAAGAAACATATACTTTTGCTAATTATTATTAATTTAGTTAAGTTTTCTTCATAAAGTTAATTTTTTCTTTAATTTTTCTTTTTCAAATCTTGGCACACCTAAATGAAAGCAACTCAATGAATTCTTTAAACAAAGCAAAACGAAGTTTGTTCTTTTGGACAACTTAAATAAGTTCTTCATTATCCTCCACTGAGAAATGAAGGTGACATTAATGGCAGACTCATATATATATATATATTATATACACACACACACAGTGAGTGGGTGTCTTTCTCAATCGAATTCCCAGTTCTTTTTGGACACCTAGCAATGGGTGATTGAGACTTGGCTTATAGTGGGTCCTGAATGAGTTCTGTAATACGTGCAAATATATGTAGCATCTGTTTATTTAAAAAGTTGATTTTTTTTCTTTTAAAAAGGAATATAGTACAGTGACTTTCTTAAAATATGCTTTAGACTCCTTTCCATAAAGTGAAAAAAAGCCAATATGTCTTCTATTTATGGAGATTACTAATTGGGTTCTGAGTAGAATTTTAACTCATTAGTATATTTTAATGATTTCTTGCACATGATAATTGGATTGCAGGTGGTTGGTTTAACTGAGAAGCTGCAAGCCAAAGAATTGACCGGTCTGCCGATGCCGGGACAAAAGACCGACTACTCACTGCAGGTGACTACACCCAATGCATCTGGCATTCAACTTAACGCCAAGGTTGAGGACCGTCTAAGTTCAGGAAGCGCCGGAAGCGCTGTGGTGGATGAGGACAGTCCACAACTTTTGGACAGTGGGGATTCAGTTTTTCATAATTATGGTGGTGGATGTGTAATCCCAACTGACGGTACTGTGCAATCAGAGGATGACGACGGAAGTGATGATGGCCGGGGTTACTTCTCTGATGTGTTTGTCACCGCGGGGCAACAACAGCATGAGGTGGAAGAGCCCTTAGGATGGTGGGTATGGTCTTAAGGAGCTGTGTAGCCTCAAAATGTATTATTTAGATGCAATACTAATTAAATACCAATAGTTGTTTAAAGAAAAGAAAATAATAAAGATGGTAAATGAGACTAGTTAGGTTGCTGATATCCTTGAAAGGGATTTAAGAGCTAAATTAATGAATAAAATTTGAACTTAATTAGGTCAATCACATCTACTGCTGATGTATCTTTTATGTGGATTATAAGTGTATATGACCTATTCAAAGGTTGTCTGTCCCTTTCTGCATCACTCAAAGAAATATGTTTTGATAAATGCAATGCATAGAAATTTTAGAATTGATTGAGAGAAGTAAATTAGATAACAAAGATAGAAGGCAATGAAATAACATCCTCTTTTTATCAAATTAGATTTAGAAGATTAGGAAATCAATGAAATGAAGCATAAAAAGAAACTAAAAAACAAATTTGATATTACCTCCATCTAATCGTTCACAAATATAAACCCCTAAAACGATTACAGAGTATTGATCCAATTTGGTTACTTCTGTAGTTTTAGCAAAAAAATCTAAAATTTAAAGGTATATTTGGCAAAATTAGTTGTTTTGGTGACAGTTAGTTGTTTTAATAGCGTATAGCTGTTTAGATAGCTTGTTCAAATGTTATGTTATCGAATACTATAAAAAATAACCACCCGAATACAACCTAAAAATAATAGACCAACCCATTTCTTGGACTTGATGTTGGAAGAGAAAGAGGAGAAGAAAAACCAGATTTCATAATTTTTCTAAAAGTCCAAAACTATTCATTGAATTTGGATGCAACAACACAAACAAATGTCAAAACAGTAACCACCAATAACTTCCTTTTTTTCTTATATAAATGAAGTTGAGTATGAATTCTACTCTGCAGAAGCTAGCACCACAGAATGAAAAAAAGAAAAGGAAAAATCAAGCTCTACTTATGAAAGATGGTTGAATTGAAGAAACAATGGAAAATTCTTTTTCTGTAAGATACTCAATTGGCAAAGAAGAACTAAGGGTGGGGTCTAAATGTCCACTCAACAACAATATTACCATGTGAAGGGCTTCAACCAAACGTCACAAACCACTTCCAACTTGTAAATTTTAACTTTATTAGAATCTGTTCTTTCTTTCCACTCTTCTTCCCACTTTTCTATTTCTTGTCCTGTCCTGCTTGACACATCCCTCTGTCATAGCTTGTGCCCTTCTTTGACAATATTCTAGATTTTGTGAAGCTACTATTAGTTCTTCAAATCAAAATGATCACTAAGACAATCAAATCCCAAATCAGATATGTCAAAGTACCCAGTTCTTTCCCCAATTTGATAAGCCTAGAGAAGCTTGTTAATCGCCAAAACCCAGGTTTTATTCAGATCAAGGAAAAATCCTAATACATTCAAAGCCAGGATAAGAATTTAAATTTGAAAACAAAAATGACAGACAGCAAAATTGCATGAAGTTTATTCTTCTGTATGATATGAAAATATATATGGGAAAGACAGAGACACAGATGAAGATCTATAAAGAATGAAATATTGACTTAGGTACTCAATTTTAAATCTTTTCCATTTCTTTTTCTTGTTAATTTACTCACTTTTTACGTCAATTCTTCTGCGTGTGAATATGGATCCAGCTGCTCTTTGCGAGGAAAATCTCTCCATAATGTTTGAGCAACAAACCAAAACTGATACACTTTACTTCATTACCCACCATTCTGGTTCCTTCCTTGTTAGACTTCCTGCTTACCTTGGATGAAGAATTCAAACCAGGCAATGGCTTCTGGTTTAATATACCGCCAGGTTTCAAACTCTCACTTGGATTTGAATTGGAAAAGGTCTTGTCTGATAATGGATGCATCAAGGTGATATATATGCAGGGCAAGGGAAGAAAATGCAGATGTTTTTGCAGCATCAGAAAGTGATAATAAAAAAAATTAACAGAATCACTATTTTTTTTCTTTGGTATATTAAGAGAGAAAGAAAGCTAACTAGAAACTACTTAGTTGTGTCCAACACCTACTAATCATGAGCTAACCAGGATAAAACACCCGAAGGAGGATTTAAATAACCAATCTGCAGAGGAATTAACTTCTCTGAAAATATGAACCATTTGAATCTGAGATTGAGATTGCATAAGCAAATGAATTTAGGTAAGTGAACCTAATAGCGAATCAATATTTAGTTGAATAAGAATATAATAGAGGAAACATTTAGTTAATTTTTGAAAATAGAAGCTTAACTCATAAATTTTGTTCAAAATATGATATTCCCTGATAGTCAATTTTTCCTTCTTTGCATTTCAGTTCATCCTTAAATTATTTATTATACCCTTATTAAATTTTATCTTATTTTCAATATCTCTTCTTAATTTTTACTCGTTATTCCAATACAATTGCTCATCATGGGCATAATAAGAAAGTTATATGAATAAAATTATTTTTTAACTATATTAATTGTTATTTCTTAATCCGTGTGAAAATAAAAAATGAGACTATTTTTTTAGGACCGAAGAAGTATTAATAATGACAACTTCAAAACGGACTCTTAATAATTTAAATTTAATCACAACTGCGATGTTAATAGAACAAATTATCATTTAATCTTTGAAATTGGATTTAATTAACAATTTAGTCCTTGAAATTTAATTATACGAATAACTTAGTCAAACTCAGCTAAAAAACCATTATAAGTAGGCTTGTTGATAAGTGGATTGTGGACTTCAATTCATAAGAAAATAAAATGCGAGTTGGACAGATCAAGCCTTTGAAAATTGGACATTTTGGAAACATAAAAGCTCATCAGCAAGTGTGGCTATAAGGCCTAAAAATATTATTGCAATATGAAATTCTTCTCATTTTTTATTATCAAATTTTCATTAATTTCACTAAATAATTTCTGTATGATCAACAAATCTCAATTTGTATAAGTTATTCAGTTTTGATATTTTTATATTAAGTTCACTGTGTTACATTTTTATAAATTTTTATTGAACTTTTATGTTGGGATAAAATAAAAAATCCAATAGCCTGTAAGAATAATATTAAAAATAATATTTTATACTCATGTAAAAGTAAATCTGAATTCTAACAAAAACTATTAAAACCAAATAATTTTTTTTAAGCAATAAGGAAGGAAATTTAAATGTGAATTTATTGTCAGATCATATATACATTTAACCACTAGGCTATACTTTGGTGTGCTTAAAACCAAATAATTTTGCTAAAACAATATTCCGCTCATTATATTATCTCATTATATCAAATATATATATAAATCTCGAAGCCAATTGGAATAAAACAATAAAAACATTAAATAAATTTTTTTTTTTGTATAAACCACCAGTATCTGTACCTCATTATCAGGGAGTGCCTAATCCGGTTCGGACTTAGTTCCCTGCAGATGTATTTAGTGGGGACCGATCCGAAAACTCTTTCCACATGTTCAACTTGCAAACAAAATTTTAAAAAACTTAGAAATTTATAGAATATTGAAAGAAAGTAAATTTAAATTTTTTATTAATTTAAGAGAATATTAATGATATTATTAATTTCAGTAGTTAGTGGTAAAAGAGATTGAATAACTTTATAAGAAAAAATAAACCGGAAAGTTTCAATATTAATGAAATTATTTTTTATCAGCAAAGAATTAATTTAAATAATAATGTTCAGAAAAAAATTAATTTATCAAAATACTAACCCTAGCCGATATGCTACTCGCTTATACCCAACCTAATTTAGATTATTTAAGTAAAAGAAACACGTTCAAAACATCTTTAAACGCCAAATACAAGAATACATCTATAATTTCCAAACTATTTTCCAACAACCCAAAAAATAAAAAATGAAGTAACTAATTAAAGATATAATAGATGTGGAGCAAGGCCAGCAAATTCAGGATATTTCTTAAGATGAGAAATGTTATTAAAGTTGGTAAAGAAAAAAGTGCAGCACACCGGGCTCGGCGTGGATGTAGAAAATGACTGCTAAATCTGAAGAAACAAACAACAGCTCAACTTGTATAATGTCAGCACGGTAAGAATTAAAATTGTTGAATAGCAAATGAAAATTTCTTGGAAATAACACAATGAGAAATCCTTCAGTTTTGAATCTAGAAAGCAAAAACTATAATCCGTTTTATAGCCCTCAAAAAACACATATTTTACTCCACCTTTCTGGTTTTTATGCAACCCGCCCATACCGAATGCCCCTGGTTTATCACGAGAAGAACCATCCAGTCATCCACATTGAATTTGAAGCAACGAGTAAGAAGAGATTCCAAAATTGTAGCAGAAGAAGATATAGCAAGGTCTAAATTTGTAACAAGAGACCAAAAATGGAATATATATTCAATCCTTCAAATCATGAGATCGATGTACGGTCTCCAATCTTTTTAAGGAAGATGGATTGATTGTGTAGGTCCCGATGGGTAATACTCAGAGGAGAGTGAATTGGGTTTTATAAATTTTTTATTATTAAAAGTATTCTTTTCAAAATTATTTGTAAATCTCTATTACGAAGCAGATTGAATCTGTAACCGGAATTTAGAATTTGTTCAAGGTAATTTCTAAGCACAAAGTTCACACCTTTAAGCACATATAGCATTTAATCAACCAATATTCATACATATCGTCAAAATGTAAGTGTACGAGTGAGTGAAATCAAGTAATATGATAAAGAAATAGAAAAGAGAAGAAATCAATACAAAAGATTTTATAATGTTTTAACATTTGTTTCGGATACATTCACTCTTAAAGAAACTATCTTGAGATTTTCTACTAATATACTCTTTTCAAGGGCAAGAATAAAGCATTTTACAATTGAATAATCCCAACATTTGGAACTAACTGTTGGATTTAATTTTCTATTGTGGGCTTAATATGTAAAATTAAATATGTACAGCAGTCCAATTGTAAAGTCAATTTCAAATGTGGTCTTGATTAAAAAAATATGTACAGCAGTCCAATTGTAAAGTCAATTTCAAATGTGGTTTTGATTGTAAATAATTGACTATTGAGGTATCAACTAATTATAGATATTAAGTGTAGAGACCATTATATAATTCCTATTTCGTTAAAGGACCGAAATACGAAAAATAGGAAATTGTACTAACCTACAGGTATATAGGTCGTGGTCCCCAGAGGAGTTGAATACGATTCTAGTTTTACGTTCCTTTCCGTACTGCTTCCGGCAAAATCGATTCTTCAATTCTCTGGAAGGCTGCAAACCTAAATTCTACACATCAGATCGACGAACACGATGTCAGGTACGCAA